CATGATATAACTGACTGCACATTAATTACATCCGTGCATTGTGATTTAAATCGGCCAAAGTCAAATTGGCAATTACGATGAAACAATATATAGATATAATCGTCGATTTAATCGATATAAAAATGATATCTCGTATCAATTTATTACATAATTTGATAGTATATATGAATTTTCAATTCTCTCTTTACAAAATATACTCTTGCGGAACTATACGCATGTATCTTTTATTTACGAGTTTTTAGTAAAATTGATTAACATCCGATACGAAACACTTTCCACGAATAAAATCAGCTTGTAATGGAAAACACGTAAAACCAGGAAGAGAATTTATGATGCGCTCGACATTTTAAAACGATTACATTTCGATTACTGACTCGTAACAAGACCAACAAATCCTCCTGTTCATCTACTAATGGAAGGTAACGTCACTCGAGATCTTTACGATCGCTTAGCAATGAAAATGTTTTCTACTATACATATTATGCTTTCTACCATACATATTATACTTCTGCAGATACTGTTTAAAAAGAATTTTGCATCCCCCTAAACATATTAATTTCACTCGTTTCCGCACAAATTGTCAAACACTTATTCCCGAGTAGCGATCCACGGAAAGTACAGCGTGTCTATGAAGTTAGAGAACTTCTATAATAAGAGCGACTTTTTCCATAACTTGGAACGACCTCATGGGACGCAGCCCGTTACGACACTGCGCGGTATCTAGATTTCGACCATGCGGGTGATCTCTCCAGAAGTTGTAGCGCCGACGCATCAAACACCGCGTTTTGACATAATTGATTTCTATAATTGATTAGTTATAAAATTTACCCGATAAAAACTCACAAAGTGTATCTCTATTGAAAGATTTCATTAATATTTATACACAGTTAAATTTTTCTAGATATATTAACACAAACTTTGCAAAAGAATACTTTTTCCCATATATCCTATTATTTCTTTGAATTATAGATTTTGCCGATATATTAACGATTTATATCGTACCGATTATCGAGAAATAAAATTATAGATAAAGAACGATAGCATAATCTCTTTTCGTACGAATGCATCATCACCGATTGCGCCTTAGGACATCCACCGCCGAGAGCAGTCGCTAGATTTATTTGCCAACAGTTAAGTACACAGAACGAAATTGCTTCAATATCAGCGTGAGTTTACGTTATCGGCGCCACCAATATTCGTATTTCGCACGTAAAAATTTTTTTACACGTTTTAAAGCAAATTTAATAAAGGAAGGGAGAAAATAAGAGCGCGGACAGAGTAATTCATAAACCGGAGGAACTATGGTCATAAAAGAGGATAGTAATCATCTATAAAAAGATGTTATACTGAAAAATGAGGCACACGTTGAATAAAACGCGATGCGAGAACGTAATATCGCACCGATCATTTCTATTTATAATCACGTAAACGACATGCGTTATATCAAAAGATTCTACGTGATAGATTGAATAAAGTACTATTAACTGCAATTAGACACGGATCCAACTAAATGTTTTAAATTTTTCAGCTTTTTATATATCACTTACGGCAGTTTTATAAGAACTTGTAAAGAAATCGGAATTAAAAATCAGTATGATTGATATATTATGTATATGTCACGACCTTCTCTTATCAGACCAAATATACAACTTAAGATATCTGCATTCAGGAATTGTGCTCAATAAAACTTCAAAAACAAAAGTTCATAGAAAGATGTAGACTTTGGCGTTCAAATTATTCATTTATATATGTAATAATTTACGTATGTCAATCTTATATAGAATCTCCTCTTTAATTCTAAATATTACCGTTTATTACAAATAAGACGTTTTCAATGAAACCATTGCCAAATTTATAATATTTAATTTATTTGTAATATAATTTATTTATTATTAGACAACTATATTATCTCAATATTATGATACAACACAACCAAAGATGCATTCAGATATTATCTTTGATCATATAGTATATCAATTAAATTCTAATTGTAAAAATTTTACACACACAATAATTACCCATGTTTTAGCGCGCGCGAACGAATTAAATATATTTAATTTAAATTAAAATATAAATACATTAACTGACTGAATAACTACACACTGACTGAACAGTGTACAACTGCAAGCCGCTATAGACAGTTGATTTGTGCGATTGATATATTTGCAAGTAAGTACGTAGTGTAATGAATAATGCAAAAGATATCTAAATAACATTCAAAGAGCCTTTAAAATGTTAGAGTTTCTTTTTTAATTATTTAGGATCACTTTTTAAATCATGAATCTTGAAATTTCTTATTCTTTGAATTATTCTTACCTTTCGTGCTTAAGATTTGCTCCTCGACGGTCTCGACATGCTGCGGTTCTTCCGATACTTGAATAATCCAACGAATTTTCCTCCGCTGCATCTAAAACAAACCGCACACGTGACAGTCACAGTCGATAATTTAGCAAACTCTAAAAATGCGCAGCACGATTCGCGATCGCTTTTAGTCGCTAGACTGAATGAGATTAGTAGCGTAAGGCAGATTTAAAGTTGCTCTGACGATATCAGCACGATTATTTTTTATGGACAGAGGTTGATATGAACAAGTTACTATTTCTATCAGTATAATAACAATTTTCTCGTAAGCTTTAGATTATCACAAATGTATATTATATATACAATTTTCAAACTGACTCGAATGTTGTACTTGCACACAATACAATATTTCACAAGTACAACTATATCATTATCTAAATAATTTAGCTTCACTTTTTGAGCTTGTTATATACTTAAAAAAACATGAAATAAGACATTATTTAGTTTTTTAATGATGTAAATAACAATTAAGAGTAATAATTATATTACCTATCATGGATTTTTTGATTACATAAAAATTTACTGATTACTTAAAATTCGTAAAATGTTCATCAAAAAATTAAAAAACCGTCAATTCAGATTATTATATGTATAATTGTTTTAAAAGATATTATTATTATTACTTATAGATGTTCCCGATTTTTCAATGCGCGCATTATGATTAAATTCTTTTTACTTCTACGCGGACACATTTGCTTCTATTATTTTTGATAAAATTTTATATTTTAAGATAACTCATATATATTGTTACGACTCGCAGATGTAACAATATATATATATATATTATNNNATATAATGAATTTTAAAGACTTTTTGCATGATTTTTCAATATAATACTTTTTTTTTTATTAAGGATAAATTATTTTATACAAATTCACTGATTAATAGTGATTCGTTGCGCCCATATCTACGTATGATTTCTACCTGCACACATATACATATGACCTTCGCACAGATTGCGAATAATGACGCGCTTCCTATTGTATAATTACTAACAATTAGGAAACAACGTTAACACTATCAATGACTACTTCTCCCAATGGATGACAATAACAATTAACACGGATATTTTCTATGCATCCAATATTCATAACTGACGCTTCATCGTTATAATTCACTCTCAATGACCATGAAATTGAACTCGCGACGCGGAATGCATCATTTTGCGACCGACACAATGCGATAATCGACTTTTCTTATAAATCATTATTTACCTCGGAAATGTTCTAGTGACATTAGAAAAATGCGCTTTTCGCGTCGTTGGGCAAATCGCGCACCGAGCGTCGTCACGGACGATAAACCGACAAACTGTGCACTGACAGTGATTTGTCTGTCAACGGAAGTGACACCCCAGCTGACTATCCGGACAGCTCTCGTTGCGTCCGCCTGTGTGCATCGTGGATGCTTACTATATGTTGACTTCGCCACACGAGACACGAGGAGGAATTGTCAGTCAGTATAAGTACGCCTACACGTTTGTACTCGCTGCCGGCGAGTGCGCGCGGCTGTTCATCTCCTCCTGGCTAATCACCGGCAAATATCGTCGCGCCTACGTCTGTCACACGACATCGCGAAGCCTGTTAGAATGATAATAAATATGATAATATGTATGTATATAGATCAAATCTCGGTTGAGAATCATCGAGTTTACTTTTTATTTACTTGATGATCTCGATCTTTAACCGATGGATCAATCGATCTTTATGACTAGACAAAAATGTCGGCAGATGATTTACAAGAGAATGATGGAAATGTATAATAAAAATCTTTTGTTAAATTATGTTATAATAAAAGTGTTTTTATGTATTTTATCTAAATTTCTAAATTTTGCGTGTGACTTTATCACATTTCGAGTGTTAATCGCCACAATTTTTAATCCTGTTTCCGAATTTTTTTTTGAAATGTATCAACGGCAATAACACTGGTTATGACGATAAGCACCAGCAGCCCGATATTGCGTAAATAATATGAATAAAATATCTTCCACATCGGAATCTTATTGATATATATTACATTTTATTCAGCGAGAAAAATGAATTTGCAGCTGTAAACAAAAAATTTTCTATTATTATTGTATTCAAATAGATTTTACAACTGCATAAGACAGGCATGGCACATATTACATGGAGAAATCAAGTAATTACGTTTTGTATAAAATATGCAGAACGCAAGAATGTGGCATCCATTCTCTTAGATCCATGATGATTTGATTTTTCATCTATGTATCACATTTTATACAAATCTATCAGACAGACTGATTGTCAACTAATCGAATTTTATTTTTCTAGAGTATTAAAAGAAAACTTACTGTGTGCAAAACATTATACATAGTAGTATAAGACAAATGCAAATATAATAATGCACTAAGAAAACGAACGTACACCGGCACTTTTCAGCGCGAAATCATTTCAAACTGGCGATGCTTGCAATACAGCAATGACGTCAGTGCGATGCAGTACTAATGGCTCCTTCACATGATTGCGATAATATGTGCACATGGGTAAGAAACGACACAATAGCCAATCAGATTCTCGCTTTTACAAAAAAGCAAAATGTGATTGGCTCGTCACTTCTTGTCGTATCTTATTACTGCATATTCTATGTGCAAGAAGCATAAGCGCTAATGTAACGCCATCTTCCTGTAAATAATTTCCAATGTATGATATAATTAAAATAGGTTAACGAGAAAAAAGACGTTTGAACACGTGTGAAAGAGAAAAGTATTTTATATCACTTTATATACAAAATATAAAAAGATACATAAATAAAAAAAAAACAATATTCCAAAATGTATCTCATGTATTATTTGAATGAAAAGGGAGATCGAGTATATACTTTAAAGGTAATTATTATGATAAATGTACAAAATTATTTATATATAATTATTTTTATATATAAAATAAAGATAC